TGTAAGTAAGTGTAGCGGTCAGTAGGTTTCCGGTATAGGGTGGTATTTATGTGACCATCGCTTATTAGCACAGTAGTGTCCAGGAAATGGACCGCTTGTGTGGATTGATCTAGGCTGAGGTTGGTATGTTACTAGTTTTTAAATGTCAAGGTCCTGTATGAATATTTTTTGGTGAGAACAACTTACTTTCTTTATCTTATATTTTGTATTTCTAAAGATGAGGAAGAGGATGACGTGGAAGACATTGAGGTTCTGGCAGTGGAGAAAAGGCACTCTTCCTCCAAGAAGACAGTTATGACTATTATTCTAAAGCATTGCACCCCGATTCACCAGCATTATTACTACACCGCCCCTTCCCCATACATTGAAAGTGAAGATGCCCTGCCACAGGAAAAGCTAAAAAATGAGGTGCCCCATGTCACAAAACCCGTGATCCAACCAGAGTCTAAGAGTTCAAGTCCTCAAAATGCAGAGTCAGAGGATAGCAAACGTCTATGCCTCAATTGTCTGGAACGTCAGCAGAATAAGGATCTGCGGTCTAGTTTCCTCACATTAAGGGACCATGTACCTGAACTGGTTAAAAATGAGAAAGCCGCAAAAATACTCATCTGGAATAAAGCCACTGATTATATCCATTCCCTTCAGGCAGAGGAACACAAGTTATTGCTAGAAAAGGAAAAATTGCAAGCCAGACAACAGCAGTTGCTAATGGAAATAGAACACATGGAGACTTGCTAAACTTTTTTTTACCTCACCTGGACAGTCACTGCCATTTTGCTCATTTTTGATTCTTTAAAAAAAATAATTGTGTTTCTTGATGTTAATGTTGTTTTACTTTCGATCCAATCCTTGAAGTAGTTGACGAACTATATTATCCGGGTAGAGAGCGCATGGATGTTCTTGCAAGGAGGCTGCCAAACAATGAGACACTGCCCTCATATTGCTTCTTAAGAACTATAGATGTTCTTTAAAAGTTGTGAGCTTTGGAGCTACTGATGGCACCTAGTTGAGTTTAAAAACATTGATTCCTAATTTTGAATGGGGCTTATGTTCTACCAGATGTAACTTCAGGGGTTACCATTTGTACTTCTGTGGGAATTTTCCGTAAACACCATGTACACACTTGCCTTTGGTACATGTCTTGGATTATGAGAGGTGGCTCTTGCTACCAGTATTCAACTGGAAGTTCATACCTAAGTTCAGTAATACTTCAATGTTTGAGGAGCATGTTTTTGTATACAAATATATTGTTAATCTCTGTTATACAGGCAGGGTAAGAATTAGTACAGTACGTACTTTAGTATGATGTGGAGACATAACTACATTTGATACTTATATTTTCATATGAAAATGAGTTCTGAAAGTTGGGAGTAGATATTACTGTATCACTTTTTTGAACTAAGAAACCTTTTGTAAAGAAATTTACTAAAAATGCCTTTTCCTAGCCTGTTTCTTCCAGTTGATGTATTTGTTAATGTTTGGTGCATTGAACTGGGTAACTGCAAAGTTCCAGTTTTAATTTCTTCCAAGGATGTACATTTAGTGCTGCTGCTTATAGCATTTTGAAATAGCTCATGTTTATGAAAATAAATAGCAGTTACATGATGTGCTCTTCAATATTTATTTTTCAATTTAGTTATTCTTTTTTATGATAAGTTCTATTACTTTAATGGTGCCCATGAGACATAAAGACATGATTCCAGCTCCTATGCACTTACAATCACAGGATACTACAGGAGGGATGAGATGCCAGCAAATTATCATTTCTCGTAACAAAGTAATTGTAATGGGAACAGTTGTAATGTACTCCTGTCAATCCACATTCAGATCTCTCCTTTGATACCGTGATCTCTCTAGGGTAGTGGTTTTTCACCTGTGGTCCGTGGACCCCTGGGGTCTGCAGACTATGTCTAAGATTTCCAAAGAGGTCTGCACCTCCATTTAAAACTTGTTAGGGATCCGCAAATGAAAAAAGGTTGAAAACCATTGCTGTATGCAGGGCCGGCTCCGTGCACCAGCTTACCAAGCAGGTGCTTGGGGCGGCCACTTCGGAGAAGGGCGGCACGTCCAGCTGTTCGGCGGCAATTCGGCGGACGGTCCCTCACTCCTGCTCGGAACGAAGGACCTCCCGCCAAATTGCCGCCGCAGATCACGATCGCGGCTTTGTTTTGTTTTGTTTTTTTTGTTTGGCTGCTTGGGGCGGCCAAAACCCTGGAGCCGGCCCTGGCTGTATGGGCCTTATGCAAAGCCCATTCTTGTTGACTTCAGCAGGGTTTGGGTCAGTCACTGAATGCACAGCACTCTCAGGGCTAGGATGCATTGCTGATTTCCACCAGCTGGTGATCTGGCTCCCATGCCTGGGGCATATCATGAGAGCAGAATATTAGCGGAAGGAATTGCGTGTGGTGAACCAGGATCTTAGGAGCTGAGTCTTACTCTTGAATTCTGTTCCTTCTTTCTTAATGTATCAAAGGACATAACCCAAAGGTTGGCCACGATTTGTTAGGAGAGTCGGTATAACCCCCTTGCTCACTCCCCATATTCTGAGAAGGATTCACAGCAACAATTTCCCCTTCAAAACCTGAAGCTGCCACACTTTTGAAAAGGGGGAAAGAAGCACAATCTGTGGTTTCATATCAACATTTGAAAACTGTATATCCATTTATTAGCCGCCCATGCCAACCATTCACACAGGTGGAGGTAGCCCTGGGTGATGCTTCTTTAACAGGAGAACGGATGGCATGGAAGAGCCAAAATTTTTAAGAAATTTTGGTGCCCTGTGACTTACACATAATGGCCAACAGAAACCCACCCCAGAGGCGAATACATCTCAGCACTGGGGGAAGCAACCCCTCACAGAGACCATGCGTCATGGGGGTTTGGGATACTGCTGGTGAACATGGTGAGGGGAAAGTGAGGGGCTAATACGGCAGCGTGGGGATTCTCAGCCACTCTGGGCACTGCCTGGGCAGAAAGAGCCAGTCAGAGAGGGAACGCTAATCCTGTGCCCCCTGAGGAAAAGAAAAGGGTCCAGCCAACTGTCCTGTGAACAGCTGGGAGACACCTTTCCCCCCTACAAGGGGGAAGCCTCTGGCTTTGATGTGTATTAAATACGGGACAAGTCACTTTCTTCAGCAAACATTTGAATGGAGATAAAGAAATGAGTATCAAATGAGACGGAAAAGTTGACCATTTAAACCCCTGCAACTGCCAAGATGGAGAATGGCTCAAGGCAACAAATTCCCTCCAAAACAGGAGAACTTGCTGCAACTAAACAGGGGAACATCTCGAAACCCACGATGCTTTTTTACAGACATTTGATAATTACTCAGAAAAAGGCAAAATCTGACAGCTGATCTCAATGTTCAGTCTTTAAAGAGAGAGAGGGGGTGGAAATCTGGAGAATTTTGGATCAATTTTCACAAATAAGAGAGGAAAATGGAAAAATGTGTGGGATTTTATATCAATAGTCAATAGTAGGTAAAGAGGTAAAATTTGAGTGACTGTTCTATTGTTATTTGACAAATCAAGAGAAAAGGGGCAACATCTGCAAAGATTTTCTATCATATTCAAAAAAAAGGAGAACAGGAGTACTTGTGGCACCTTAGAGACTAACAAATTTATTAGAGCATAAGCTTTCGTGGAGTACAGAAAACTTTTGAAGTGATAATCAAGCTAGCCCAGTACAGTGCACACTTGTAAGTATTCTCACACTTCTTATCAAACTGTCTGTACTGGGCTAGCTTGATTATCACTTCAAAAGTTTTTTTTCTCTTAATTAATTGGCCTCTCAGAGTTGGTAAGACAACTCCCACCTGTTTATGCTCTCTTTATGTGTGTATATATATCTCCTCAATATATGTTCCATCTATATGCATCCGAAGAAGTGGGCTGTAGTCCACGAAAGCTTATGCTCTAATAAATTTGTTAGTCTCTAAGGTGCCACAAGTACTCCTGTTCTTCTTTTTGCAGATACAGACTAACACGGCTGCTACTCTGAAACCTATCATATTCAAGAATTTGGAAAAGGTCAAAATCAGAGATTTTGTTAATATTTTATAATTAGAGAGACAGGAAAAAAATCTCAGGGAATATTAAATAAGTAACAGATACCTAGAGAGGAAGCGGGGCAAAATTTTAGGATATTCTCCTGAAGAGCTGCGTGTAGCTCAGAAATTTGTCTCTCTCACCAACTGAAGTTGGTCCAAGAAAACATACTACCTCAACCACTTGTCTCTCTAAATGCAAACCAATGCACCATTGAAGGGGGAAAGTGATCATTTAACTATCAACTCAAGAAAGGGAGCTGCATGTTGCTGTAGCCAGCTCAATGACAAACTGCACTCAGTGCACAGCTGTCATCACAATGGGGGAAAATCTGAGGACGAGACTAGAGGAAGGGTCAATAATTGGAGAGAAAAGGAGAGAAACCTGAGTGGATTTTAAGTATCGTGGGTAGCCGTGTTAGTCTGTATCCACAAAAACAACAGGGAGTCCGGTGGCGCCTTAAAGACTAACAGATTTATTTGGGCGTAAGCTTTTGTGGGTAAAAAACCCACTTCTTCAGATGCCACCGGACTCCTTGCTGACTGGATTTTGTATCCCGTCGGTGACAATCGGGGAGACGTGGGGGAGAATTTTATCACTCTCGGAGTCGGACATGACACGACAGCCGTGCCGCTAAAAGGTGAGCAGTGTCGCCCCCTCTTTGGCGGCAGGAGAGACTCTCCCGCCGACAAAATAAATCCACCCCCAGCC